AGCTAAACTTATTGCAGATTCTTATTTGAACTCTGCTACGCCATACTCAGACACCATGGAAGCTTTGCGTGAGAAGTTTGGCCAGCCACATCAGATGGCATTGAACAAAATTGCCAGTGTAATGGATTCTCCAGATGTTCGTCGAGGTGACTCAGCAGCGTTTGAGAAGTTTGCTCTCCAAGTCCAGTCCCTGGTCGGGTTACTTAGGACTTTGGGCCCAGATGGCGACGCTGAGCTAAAATGTGGATCCCATGTTGCTCGCCTACTAAGTAAATTACCTGCAGATCAGCGAGCAGACTTCAGAAGAGCTATGTTTCGCAACCCAAACACAGTCTACACATTGGTAGATTTTGCTGAATGGCTGCAGTACGAAACCTGGTGCCATAATTATGATGTCCATGATCAAGCAGGAGCTAAAGATAAATCAGGCAACCAGAAGAGGAGGGTCACCACTATACTGCATGGATCTAAGGACAGTCCCATTCCCAGTTACTCAGGGAAGAAGGGAACCAAAGCAAAACGTTATTGCTCCTTCTGCAAAAGTACTCAACACTATCTCAGCCAATGTTCTGACATTCAGAAGCTGTCAAAGGACCAACTGTCTCAGTGGATTAAGGACCACAATAGATGTTGGCGATGTGCAAGATCTCATCATGCAGCTCAGTGTGATCTTCGGAAACCATGTAGTCTTTGTCAGGGGAAACATCTTCAGGTGCTCCACGAAGTAAACACAAGAGAAACCAAAAGAACCACTAAAGAGGAGAGTTGCCTCATCAGTACCACCACTGACATGCTTTACCTTGACAGGCCACTGGAGGCCAGCAGAGTCTTGCTGAAGGTAGTCCAAGTCACTCTGCATCATAAAAACCGAAGCCTTCAGACATATGCTTTACTTGATGATGGCTCTGAGCGGACAATGCTCCTGCCTTCTGCTGCACAAAAGCTTGGCCTGCAGGGAACCCCAGAGACTCTGCATTTGAGAACCATAAGGCAGGATATCCAAACATTGAAAGGTGCCTCAGTGTCCTTCCATATTTCTCCTTCCTTCAGCAGTCGTAGCCACTTTGCTGTGAATGGAGTCTTTACAGCTGATCGCCTGGCTTTAGCCGAACAGTCCTATCCCAGTGACAAACTCCGAAAGCAGTTCAAGCACCTGTCTGATTTGCCTCTGCATTCCTTTAAGGATGCACAGCCTTTGATCCTCATTGGTACAGATAACCCTCATCTCATCACCCCCATTGAACCAGTCCGGTTAGGTCCACCAGGTGCACCTGCTGCAGTCAGAACCAGACTGGGCTGGGCTCTTCAGGGACCCATAAGAACAGCAGATGGCGGTCTCCAACACCAACAGTGTTTGTTTACAGCTGTTTCACACCCGAATGCTGAATTGCTGAGAAATGTTGAGAAACTCTGGCAGGCTGATGTTCTTCCCTACCAAAATGAGAAGACAGTAACTCGTTCCAAATTGGATAAAGAGGCCATTGACCTGCTGGAGAAGAGGACAACACGCGTGTGTGTGGAAGG